TTTTGATTTCTTGTTTTTTTTTATCTTAACACTGTCCAATACACGATCTGCCAAGCTTTTTTCTTCTTCATCTTCTTCTTCTTCAATATCTGTTTCACTTTCAGAACAATAAACATTTGTGTCTAATTCAATTTCATTTAGGCTTTTTCCTTTAAATTAAACCTTTGCTACTTTTGCAGTTTGATAAATGTCTTGGGGCAATCTAAAATAAATTATTTTATATTAAAAGCCATAATTTTAAACTAAACAGCATACCTATAAAATTCAAGATGTGTTTTTTTGGTGTGTCCCATAAAAGTCGCTATTTGTTCCATTTCATCATCTTTCATGCTCATTAATTGAAGGGTTGTAGCAATATGTTTTCTAAATTTTGTTGAGGTCAACAAAGAAGGTTGTTTGGCATCACATTTTTTTGCAAGTTTTCTTAATGCATATGCTCCATTTATCCATCTATTTTCTGAATCGGGATTGGCGAAGAGGTATGGGTTAGATTCTGGTACCAAATTATATTTTTTTCTAGTTTTTAACATACAATCAATGTATTGTTGAAGACGATTTGAAAACAGAATTGGAATAGGTTTAAAACCTTTTCCGCCTGAAATTACTCTTTTAAATCTTTTACTGATTAATTTTTCCACCTGTGTTAGAGAGTCCATAAATGATTCCTGATTAACAGTACTAACATCCACCTTATAAGTTTCTATCTTAAGATATTGAATCTCACCTACTCGTTTTCGATTAAACATTAATGTTTCAACTAAGACACATTCAGATAAAGTTTTAAAGTTTAAAAGTATATTAACATTTTGATTTAGGTTTTTAAAAGATTTCGCAGCTAAATTTCCAACATATGAAATTAGTAACTGTATGTCACTATTTAATGGCAATTCCACAGGTTTCTCCCAATATTTTTCCTTTAAATTTTTAAGAGCCAAACTTGATAATTCATTGCACCAATGACCTTCAATTAATTTCTTCAAGTCTTTAATTTCTTCTTTTTTTTTTATCCCGATCTGTCCAATCTATATTATGCATTTTTCTATTTTCTAAAACTATTTTAAGTCCAATATTACACAAGATTTTAAATTTGTTCCCATATGAAGAGCAAGAGATGGCGATTTAAAACATTTTTCGTTAGCATCGTAACCGCTTATTTGTTTTGTTGCATTAATTAAAGTTTGAAACATCTCAGGTTTTAGAACATCAAATAATCCAACAAAATGTTCTGTTTCTCGCAAAGAAATAAGCAACCTTCCCATTTCCCTCATTTTATTTGAAACAACATTTATTATTTGCTTTCTTTTATGTTTATTTAATATTGATTCTCCATATAAACATATTAATGCATCATTTTTAGCCACATAACTAATATTATCTGGGCGCATTATACCAAAAACCTCGTCTTTTATGCGAGATTTTTTTTAAAATTCCTCATTTTTTGAATTAACTAAAGCCATAAAGATTTGAGATTTTGATAAACAACGTTTTCCCACATGTTTTTCGTCTTTTGGTTTATTTTTGCAAATTTTAACATGCTTGTGTAAAAGTTTTTTGCTATAATGACCAAAGCAATAAGTACAGACAAAATATGTTACATCTGGATCATTTGATGTCCTAACTGGATGAAGGACATTTTTTTCGGTTTTTAAATAAAAATATCCTTGCTTACGCAATGACTGAATAAGACATTTTCGTTGTTTGCTTCCAGCTTTTAAACTCTGAATTAATTTAACTTGTTTATTATTTCTGTGATGCCTAAAAAGATGTCTAGTAAAATGTGTTATTACATCATGAAAACAAAGCGGACAAATTGTAGGCCTTTCTCTCGCACCTATTTTTTTTGTGTAATATGGATTATTATCCTACAAAAAATTAATTAAATAAAAAACACTTACTACTTTTTCTACTTGCCAGTTCTGGAATATTTGTTACATTTGATGATGAAACATTATCATCATGATTATCTAAAATTTTAATTTCCTAAAAAGAAAAGTTTATTTTTTTGTAAGAATCAGATACCTATACTATTAAATACCTCACATACTGAAATTGTTTCACTACTATTAGAATCAGATATTGAAGGTTCATATTCAGATTCTGAATCTTCAATAATTTCATCATCGGATAAGTCTGACATAATTTCCTCCATTGTACCGGCAATCATTTCCTGGTAAGAATTTAATGTGGAGGAGGCAATAGACATTAAATTTTTATATTCTTCATCTAGCACTAAAGCAATTTATTTTAATAAAATTATGCATTGATTATTACTTAATGTTTTTGGTTAAAAATTAAAATTAATAAAAATGCATTAAGGTAGGTATTGTATTAATTTAGTTAAAATGTTAAAATAAATTGATATTTTAACATTTTCAATCATTTTCAATAACTTGACAAAAAATTGGTATATTTAAAAAAAATCAATTTATACGAGCCCTAACCTAAAACTATTCGAACACTTCATAGTTTATACAGAAATATTTTTCGTAAATTATTAGAAGTTATAAAAAATTCAGCTTATTTTAGCATTTGCCCCTAGAAGCAATTTTTATTTTTAAAAAGTTTACCTTTTATTTTTTGGCTTTTAAAAAAAGGCTAACTTTTTTCTATGAGTAAAAGAAGTTATAAATGGACCCATTAAAAAGAGCATAAAATATTATAAAAAAACCCTGAAAATTTGGTAAAAATTGTATAAATAATAAGAAAGTTATATCATCCTAAAGTGTTGCAAAATCACCCGTTTCCTTAAAAAATTGCAAAAATTCTTTAAAAATAGCATTTTTAAATTAAAATTAATTTTTTATAACTAATTTAATTTTTATCAAATTTTTAGGGTTTGTATAATATTTTATGCTCTTTTTAATGTGTCCATTTATAACTTTTTTTACTCATACAAAAAAAATTAAAATGGTTGCCTTTTTTAAAAGCCTAAAATAAAAGGTAAACTTTTAAAAAATAAAAATCGCTTCGAGGGGTATATGCTAAAATGAGCTGAATTTTTCATAACTTCTAATAATTTTGAGATAGTTGTATAAATTATGAAGTGTCCGAACATTTTTGGGTTAAGGCTTGTATTATTTAAGAATAAATTATTTAAATATTTAAAAAATTATATCAAAAATTGTTTATTTTTTATTTTTGGACAAAATTTTACCTTTATCTTGTTTTTTTTCTTTGCACATACTTGGACCAGGCTCATTTAAAATGTCATTAACTATTTCATGTGTTATCGTTTCTTCTTTTAAAATAAAAAGTAAAAATTCAGATTAAAAATTAAAATAAGGCATGCAGTTAATAATTACCTGCACATGTTATAGAAATTTCTTCCTGCCTGCTTTCAGTTTTTTTGGCATCTAATAAAATAATAACATTTATAAGCTATAAGTAAAATAATAAAAATAAAAAAAATTTACTCACCCAATTGTTTCTCACAGGCCAGTTTAATCATTAAAGCTGCGCGTTTGGACATTTTTAAAACTTTAAACTAACACTTGTTTCATTTATTTATATAATTATTGTTTTAAAATTTCAGTTAATTTACAATAATTTAAATTTAAATTGGACCTTAAAAACCCAAAAACAAATAAAGGTTTTTTAGGCACAAACTTTTTTAGTTGTTTTATATCTCAATGAATAATATCCAAAGATATTTTTTAAATGCAATACATTATTTTTGATAATCAGCGAATTTCAAAAGGATCGATTTTGGATGCATTTAATATGCAAAGTATAAACAAAATATACGAAGAAGTGAGTAATTTGCAAATTTATTATGAGAATTGATATATATCTTTGAGTGCAGTGTTGCCGAATTTAGGGCTTCCCTTCAAACTAAAGATATAGATGGCTCGTAAAGTCGACAAAATATATCTTATATTTTATAAGTGTATATACAGAAAACAACCGCGACCTCTGGTTTATTCTTAATTAAACTAAAACTAGTATGTTTTAAGGTAAAACGAAAATCTAGAATTTGCTTTAAAAACTAAGGCCCTTCCCAAATACAACGGATATACACGTAACTTTTTACGAAGCCCGAAGGCGGGCTTCGTAAGTGCAAGTCGGGCTTGGTATGCACCGCAGAGTTTGGTATTTTTGGCTTCCTATGGGCGGTTAATGAGTATATATATATATATGTATAATATACATTGTATATTGTGTAGGTTAATGTATAAGTATAGATTTATTGTTATTATTGACATATTCTAATATGTTATGTAATATATATTTTAAAATTGTAAGTCTCGTTCCTCGAGATATTTTATTAATTATAATTAAGCTATTTTTCAGATAAAATAAATTACATTTATAATCTGTCGGTAACACGGTTTACATCCATTACTTTTACTTAAAAGAAAAGCCACGCTATTTTGAAAACGGTTGCTTTAATAAGATAATAAAATGAGTTTAAAAGCAAAAAAAAATAGGTCCGGAAGAGGATATATATATATATATATATATATATATATATATATATATATATATATATATATATATATATATATATATATATATATATATATATATATATATAAATAATGGAGCGATTAAAGAAGATGTTATTAGAACCTTACCCGGTACAATAAAATGGCGACCATCGTGAAAAAATGCGAAATAGAGTTAAGCACAAGAAAAATTGCGTGAGGTTTAAAACCCTCAGGAAGAAACGCAGAAGGTTTTAAAACTCCTCAGAAATAAACGCATGAGGTTTGAAACCCCTTATATATTAAAAAATTCCCAAGGTCCAGTAAAATATACAAATTGGTAAAGTTTTAAAACTCTCAAATAAAACGCAATGCGGTTTTATAGAATTGCAAAGGTCTAAAATTCCTCGATGCGGTATTAAAATCTTTACACGAGCTTGAGGTTTTTAAAATCATTAAAAAATAACTACTTTTATTAATGCTTAAATACAAGTACCAAAATTATATACTATATAACCATATCTTATTTCACCACACAATTTGCTAGCAACAGGCATATCTGCTTTAGGATTGGCTATGACAACCTTAATAAATAATGGAAATAAAGACCCAGAAGTTCTAAAAGACCTTCCGAATGCAGGTATTCGGAGGGGTTTATCACTTAATGGCAATAAGACTACGAAAACTAATTATGCCAAGTTCAAAGAACGTAAAGGAAGTATTCAGAGACTAGTCTCTGGAAGTAATAAAGAAATATCCCATAAATGAATTGTTATTTGGTGATTAAATAGACGAACAAATCTTTAATAATGTTAAAGAAAACTGGTCGAGATATATTAAAACCAAAAAATTATATGGTTTCAAAAAACCCATGCTCGTCCAAAACGAGTGGGGGTAAAAGTAGGGTACAATACTACTCCAGCTCATTACAAGAGATCTGCTCAGTATCAAGGACCTCCTTAAAAATCGAAGGGCAGATATAGGAGCAGATGTTAGAGGTAGGTTTTGCAGAATAGTTAAAAGGATATTTAACCATATAAAAAACAATTCCTAAAAATAAAACCATTTTAAATATTATCACAGGTATGCAGATACCTTTTGATTCACCTTCGGTTGAAGGTAGATCAAGAAAAATTACAAACCCTACACTGAAAAAATTAATTGTTAATTTACAATAGTATTACATTAAAAATATGGTAAATTAACAATACTTTTAAAGTAATTCACCTTTGGTTGAAGGTACACTGTAAAAATAGCATGTAAATTTACATAATTTTTAGTGCGATTTTACCGTATTTTACAAGTTTTTATTTAAATTTTACAGAAAATGTATTATTACCCTATTTTTGAAACACTTATACAGTGGAAATGTAATTCTACTATATTATTAAAACAATTTTTAATCACCAATGTATTTTTTAACTTTGACTATATTTCTAATGTTAAAAAATATCACGTGTTAACGTTGACATTACAAATATTGTAATTCAACGCATGCGCACATAGGATCTAAGCACATTCCAGCAGCCATTTCTCCGTTTGCGACTATTCGGCATTAACGTTGTGAATAAAAGTGGTTTTAAAAGAAAGCAGGTAAGATGTTTAATTGTAAATTGTGCAATATTTTATTACATTTGGTAAAACACTACACTTTACATCAGTATATTCACAGAAATGACTTAACTGACCTCGTAGATCCAAATTGTTTGTTCAGGACTTCAAGTCCCTAGTCGGTCAACTTTTCTTGGACGAAACTATCCCTAATTGGTAATCACATATCACAAAACACTAATATTTACAAATTTACGTGGTATTATGAATAGTACTTCAATTTACTTTTACATTAATTATAATTATTAATAGATAATTATTATTACAAAGCAAAATCTGTTCTGTGCTGTTTGCTCTGCTTGCCGCATAGGAAACCCCGTGTCAACCCTAAACGTGTGTTGCCGGGAAATCATTGGCTGAGCGCGGGTGGCGTGATGATGAATCAACTAGCATTGTGCATTAAAAGTACAACATTTTTGATAATTAAACTAGTCAGGCCAACAAAGACGTATATCCGTGCTATACCTACGTACAGAGGGCCAAACAAGATTGTTACCCACCAAAAAACGTCAGCGAGGCTGTTGCAGAGGTGAAGCTCCAAGATTTGGTGGATCACACAACATCACGATTGGGTAAATATTTAGAGCCCGTTTTTCAACAATGCATCCAGAGTAGACACAGATTTAGTGCTTATATATAAGTGGAGGTGTGATGGGTCCACTCAAACACAATACAAACAAAAATTTGAGGAAGACGGAAATATTGTTGCAAACATAGTTTTAAGTTCTTGTGCCCCTTCGACTTATGTCTAGAAATAAAATTATATGGCAGAACATGCAGCCATCATCACCAAGATATTGCAGGCCAATACAAATACGTTATGTAAAAGAAGACAAATACATAACGAATGAAGAAATAGAATACATTGAAAACCAGGCCCTAAATCTTCAAGCAACGAGGGTAAACGAAAACAAAACAATAAAACATGTACTGCTTCCAACAATGGACGATGAAAAGGTGTGCAACGCAGCCACCAACCAACACATTAACATTGCGCTGCTATATATGTTGTAAAACTTCAAAAAGTTTTAACGATTTGATGTCCACAAACCCAGAGAATCCTGAGACGTTCAAATTCGGGCTGTCCATTTTGCATGCTAGAATAAGGTATTTTGAATTTTTACTGCATCTCTCTTACAAAATAAAGGCAGAAGTTTATAAGGGTCGCATCACAGAGAAAAGTGACCGGAAAAAAATTCAAGCAGACAAAGAAACAGTTTCCAAAAAAAATTTCACGATATAATGGGCTTACTGGTTGACATTCCGAAAGCTGGGTACGGCAATACCAATGATGGAAATACGTCGAGAAGATTTTTTAATACCCCACAAGAAGCAGCCGATATTACAGGGGTGGATTTATTATTAATTAATTACTTAAGTTATATTAGAAGTATTATCTTCAGGATTTGATATAGACCTAAAAAAATTCTCGACGTTCACGATGAATACAGCAAATCACTATGTTAATTTGTATCCCTGGCAACCTATGTCACCTACAGTGCATACAATTTTAATGCATTCATCCAGTGTCATAGCCCATGCATTACTGTCAATCGGTCAATTGTCCGAAGAAGCCGCAGAAGCTAGGAACAAGCACTTCCGCGAATATAGGAAGAGTTTTTCTTGGAAGTTCTCTAGGATACAATGCAATGAGGACTTCTTTTAACTTCTGATCCTTATTTGAGCAGTTTAAGGCCGAAAAATAAAAAAGATAGGAAGGATTTTTCAAAGGAAGCTCTTCAATTTTTCATAATCAAAAACGATAACAGTGATGATGAATAATGAAAAATAAAATAATAAATGCATTTATTGTTAGTTAATTATAGTTAGTTAATATATGTTTAATTTAATATTTTTATTGTGTTAATTGCACATAAGTAAAGTAGCTAGTGTGTAGTTTTTTTACCTACTATCACTTGTATACCTTTAGAAATATCTTTTTAGTCATTTGCTACCGTTTTTAGGCAGAAAAAGTGCTCAAATATTTTCGGTCCAAATACCTGCGGCGATGCGTCAATGGACTTGTTATTTGCGACAGTAAAACTACCGAATATTAATTTACCGGAATTTCATGGATCCTATGAGGGTTGGAATGCTTTTCACGATATTTTTACTACATTAGCACACAAAAATTCTCAGTTAGATGTTCAACGGTTTTATTATTTGCAATCGTGTTTAAAACATGACGCAGCACAATTAATTCTCTCAATGAAAATATCTGCGGCAAATTATCCGATAGCTTGGGTGTTATTAAATGAAAGACTTGATAATAAGAAGCTGATAGTTTATGCTCATATAAAGGCAATATTTGAGTTAGATTTTTTAATGGTAGAATCTCATGTGAAATTACTTAAATTGTTAGATAACTTTAATAAACATTTCAGATCGCTTAAGGCTTTAGTTTTAGTTTAGTTTATTTATTGTGCTCTAAACTTGATGTTAAAACGAAAAAAGAATGGGAGCAAAGTAAAAGCAAAGAAAAATTTGAAAATGTAAAATTGAAAACTTTAACTGATTTCTTAGCGACACATTGCCAATTACTTAAGTCCATAGACTCTAAAGCTAAAACTAAGCATTTAAAAATAAATAAAAGAAGCTCTGTTTACGTAGCAACAACAAACAAATTCGCGTTTACTTGTTATTTTTGTGAAGAGGGACATTCCAATCTGGACTGTGATAAATTCGCGACGCAAATGACTTTCAAGAACGATACGAGGTGGTAAAAAGAAATAAACTGTGTTTTAATTGTTAACGCCGGACATTTTACTAACGATTGTAAATCAAAACCGTGCGCGAAGTGTTTGAGAAAACAACGTACTAACGTCACTAATGTAAAACAAACAAATAACGTTGTGGCGCAGATTGCAACTAATTCGCATTCTAATTTATCTTTAAACTATTAAACTACGTGTTCTTGCATTACGGCAAGTGAACCGCTTGAAACATCAATCATTGATTTATTCTGGTTATTTTCTAAAGCAATATTATTATTAATATTATTATCCTGTAAAACTGTAACTTTTTCAAGCATACTGTCTAAAAAAGAATTAGTCAAAAATGACATATTTTATAGTGAAAAAGCATGCTTTTTCACTTTAAAATACGTCATTTTTGACAAATTCACTGCAGTCACTAATAACTGTAGTCCACAGCAATTTGTGCCCAGGATATTTAACAGCCAATTGTCATGTAAAATTGTCCCCTGAATCCGAAAAGACCGTCATAGCAGTTTTTGAGATATAGTCAATTCCATATTATATGGAAAATTGAATAAATCCTAAAAACTGTCCTACTTTTATAACTTTATATCTTTATAACTTTTGACGACATATTCGGATTCAGCAGACAATTTTACATAGGAATTGACTTGAAACTTTTGTATATAAAAGAGCTAAATATCCGGGATACAAATTGCTGTTGACTAGAATTTTTAGTGGCTGCATTTTCGCTATGACAATTAGTCATTTTTAACTAATATATTTTTAGAAAGTAGTATTTTCCATATGGTTCTTTTTTTTTAAGAAAATTTGACAAAGTGTTCTTCGTTGCCGAAATCCTTTTTTGATGGCCCGCACTTTTTATGTGGCATATGACTGCTTGCAAATCAAACATTTGGCTTGAAATGGTTTTTTATCAACAGGAACTATGATTTTTCAAAGTCTTTTACTGATTAATTAATTAATTTATTAATTATGCTCTTACTGATTAATTAATTAGTTTATTAATTAGGCTTACCATTTACAAAATAAACAAATATTAATCACCCTAAACATAAAAATAGTTAGTTATAGAAGTTAAAAGTACAATAAAAAATTTAAAAAACTCAGGTAGTACCGACATATTCAACATAAATTCTAAATTGATTAAGGAATCAGCTGACATATTAGCCCCCCCTTGGTTAATTTATATAATAAATGTATAATCGAAGGTGTTTTTCCAGCTAGTTTTAAAACTTCCAAAATCACCCCCATTTTTAAAAGAGGAAATAGGTGTGCTGTCGGCGATTACCTTCCTATCTCCATCATTCCATACTTTGGCAAAATTCTTGAATTCATTATTAAAAACAGGCTCTCTAAGTATCTGGAAGTCAACAAAACTCTAAGTGGGTGCCAATTTGGGTTTCGTAAGAATAGCTTAACTACGGATGCGGTTCTTGAAGTGATATGTCACATACTCGAGGGCCTTGAAAGGGGTGAGTTTGTCACAATTACTCTGCTTGACATGTCCAAGGCCTTCGATTGTGTGTCAAATGATATTCTACTGGAGAAGCTGAGTTTCTATGGTATTAGAGGCATTTCTCTATCTTTATTTAAATCGTATCTATCGGACAGATACCAATGTGTAAACGTAAACAATGGGTTATCAGACACACAACCTGTAATGCATGGGGTACCCCAGGGCTCTGTACTGGGGCCCTTACTTTTTATTCTGTATGTGAATGATCTATTTCTATATATGTTTCCTGAAAACTGCTTTGCTTTTGCAGACGATACCACGAATATAAATAGCCATAAATGTCAGTATCAAGCACTACAGCTTAGCAGAGATAGTGAAAGCAAAGCAGAACAGTGGTTTACTTCAAACAAATTAAAGATAAATACAGATAAAACTCAGAGACTCAGCTTCTCCACAAGCGTGACCCCGGATAGCCGGGATAGTGTGCGACTCTTGGGACTATTTATCGACAACATACTCGATTGGTCCTGCCAAAAAAATCTGTGTCGATGAATATTTTCAGGATAAGCTACTATTCTCTATTTCACTCGCACATAAGCTATGGTACGGTTGTCTGGGGAAATTCTAGCTATGCCATGACAGCTTTTCGACTACAAAAGATGGCTATAAGACTGATATGTAATGTAGGATATAGGGATCCCTGTAAACAGTTATTTATAAATCTTGGCACAATGCCTCTACCAACAGTGTATATTTATCATACACTGCTCAAAATACATGAAGACAAGAGTCTATTTATCTGTGGAAATGATATCCATTTTTACACCAGATTTAAATTACAGATTAGAGCTCCTAAATACCGACTCTCCAAGGTCTCAAAAAATTCACTTAATATAAGACTGTACAACGTCTTGCCTATAGAGGTTAAGTCACTCGCATATATTAAATTTAAGAAAACTATAAAAGACTATTTATTAAGTCATTGCTTTTACTCTGTACAAGAATTCCTGGATACTGTGATATAATGTGATAATGTTCATTTATCATGTATTATATTGTACCTATTTTATTTATTATGTGATTTCGTACTTTATTATGTAATATATGTAATTTGTTATAGTTTAACACACTTGTACTGACTTGCCAAACATGTACTTTTCATAAAGGTGGCCAATAAAGATTGATTTGATTGATTTAATTTATAGTCTTAAAAGGTTATAGTGATAAGTCGGTATATAGACTTCTAAGGTTATAGTGATAAGTTTGACATATAGCGATGCCATATTTTAAATTACACTCGTTAACATAATTTTATTTTTGAATGAAAATTTTGTTGACCAGTTTTATTTATAAATAACCAATTCCCTGACCGACTTAGGAATTCCCTGACTTTGTAGATTTTTTTGCCAATTTCCTGACATTTCCAGGTTTTCCAGATGAGTGGCAACCCTGTTTACGTATGTACTTCGGTTTATTCGAAATTGTAGGGTTAAACGTGATGAAAAAGAAACTGGCGCACTAACAGTCAAACAACTTGAACATTATTTAATTGTTTTGCTGAAAATTGTGCGGAATCAATATTTTGGCGATGAATTTGAATGTTTGAAGCGAGGAAAACCACTAAGAAAAAATAGTAAATAACTTTGTTTAAACGTTTTTCTTGATGGTAATAATTTGATACGTGTGGGTGGTAGATTACGCCATTCACAAGAAAGGTTTGACAAACGACATCCGATTTTACTTTCCGATAAACATAAAATGACTAAACTAATTATTGAAGCTGAACATGAACATTATTTACTTGCATGTCAACAAGCTACTTTGGCTGCAATTCGAACTAGATATTGGCCTATTAATGGTCGCAGTGTAGTTAGGGGTATTGTTGGAAAATGTATAAAGTGTTTTAAGGCACGACCTAATTTTGTGATGTTTATCATGAGTGACTTACCATCCGCAAGGGTAACTCCTGCCCGACCATTTTCTTGTACTGGTGTCGATTATGCTGGGCCCTTTATGTTAAAAGACGGCACCACTCGTTCAAGAAAATTAGTAAAAGTATATGTATGTGTATTTATATGTTTCGTCTCTAAGGCGGTACACCTCGAATTGGCAGGGGATTTAAGTTCCACTACGTTCTTAAATTGCTTAAAGCGGTTCGTGTCACGCCGTGGCTTTTGTGCCAATTTTTATACTGATAATGGCCGGAATTTCGTTAGCGCTGCCAAAAAGTTAAAAACTTTGATTGGCGAAATGCAGGTGAACGAAAGACTCCATTGAATTTCAACATTTCTGGAAACTTTGGTAGAGCGATTATTTAACGACCCTTTAACAACGTGCAAAGTGGCGCCGCCACACCCCAAATATTGTATTGAACGATTTGGTCCTTATCAAAGAGGACTTCTCCCCACCACTTTCTTGGCTTGTTGGGCGAGTGATCGGGCTGCATCCAAGACCTGGTGTGCGATTCTCGAGTTTGTACATGTCTTATTCGTATACGAGATAGTTCGAATAAAAAACCGTGTACGAATACCGACGAATATTCTTGAAATGTCTTCGAAAAGCAAATTCGAACGGTTGTAGAAAATCGAACGTGGCAACGGCGCAATATTGTCTGTAAATTTTAACGATGTTTGGTAAAACAATTCAAAATTAATAAAAAATGGAGTAAAAAGTAACAAAAAATAAATTTAAAAGAAATACAGGTATATATGCCTATAATAAATGAGATTATATTGAAGTAGTATATCAAGAACTTTGTTTGGTTTGTGTATCAAAATAAATTGTTCTGTGATAATAATAATGATGGAGCAGACACAACGAACCGGTAATATTTCTGCTTAGCAAAAAACTTTTAATTAAGTTTATTGCTAAACATCCAGAATTAAAACATGGTAAATTATCCAAAGACTTTACATTCAAACTTACAAGGGAATTGTAGCAAAATTTAGCTGAACATCTTAACGCCTTGTCTGGGGCCAATAAGGAGTGAAAGAAGTGGCGGAAGGTAAGTTCTTAAATCGAAACTTAAATTATTACAATACATAGCTTTTATATTTTTAGACATGGAATTACCTAAAAACAATTTCAAAGTCAAAGGTAGCAGTATTAAGCCACATCAACAAGGCACAGGTGGAGGACCTCCCATTAAGAATGCGTTAAGTGAGGATGACTGCAAAGTTCCTGATATTATCGGCTCGATTGCTGTTGAGGGCCATCCAGATATTACGGAATCGTCAACTGCATTTGATATCACAACCCTGTCTCCTGTGACCGAAAAAAGCTTATTGTGTTTGAAGATTAGCCGAATATAAATGAAGAAGTAAGAGTACTGCCGACTCCAACACAGGGCACTAGCAGGAGTCCTCTGCCAAGACTGTCTCCTGTGACTAAAAAAGAGCTTATTGTGTTTAAAGATCAGCCGATTATAAATGAAGAAGTAAGAGTACTGCCGACTACAACACAGGGCACTAGCAGGAGTCCTCTGCCAAGCCAGCCCACATCAAGGATTGATGGAAATTCAAACAAAGAGAACCTTCCCAACATATAAAAACCACGAACAAGGCACATCCAAAGATTACAGCACATTATTGCCGCAACCGACAAATTAGCGCAGCAAACTGAGAAGCAAATTACTGTGCAAGAAACATATTATTCCAAGAAATTGAAACTATATGAAAAATACGTGGACGCAAAAACCAACGGATGGCAATGGCTCTTGAATCAATGGCCGAATCCTTAAAAATGAAGTTAGAATAGAAATTATTATATTGTTGTTGTTTTTTTTAGTTTAAACTAATAAATATGAGTTACGTTTATTATTACCTATATTTTGAAATATTTTAAAAACGTTTTAAAAAATTTATATTTAGGTTTTCAAATTATTTTGACTTTATCTACGCGCCTTTAATATATATCACTTAATTTAGAACCACCTTGTATTTTCAAAATAAAAACTCAAAAATTAAAATTATTCCTTTTATTATAAAGCAAAATAAATTAAATTAAGAATCTATTTTAAGGATTGTGCCATTTTTTGGATTAATTTCGTCATATTTATTATAATTTTTAAATAAAAATTTTAATTTAAAATAGTATTAAATTGTAACAAAAACATTCAGGTTAAATGTTAATCAAAATTCTATAAAATAAACGGGCAAAGCATCATTTTAAACTCAATGAAATTAAATTAGAGGTAAAAGTTTAAATAAGTTCATGACTTTTTTGAAAAAAAGTAATTTGATTAATCACAAATTAATTTGTGAATTATTCATAAATTAATTTGTGAATTGTGAATTACCAAAATATTTAATGCCAGCCCTGCCAAAATGATTCCTAATAAATCGAGTACGAAATATTCGCCCGGCTACTAAATCAGGATTAACCCTGTTTGCACGTTCCTCGTTTGTCAGTTCAGCAGGCTCAGGCGGATAAATGCCGAAATCGATAGCATCAGCATCGTCTTCAACTGGTTACATATATTGTGGCATCAACAACTTATATCAACCTTTAAATAAAAAACGCCAAGTCACGCCACACACTAGGTTGTTGATTGGATATTATTAGTTAAATTCGTAAAATAAAGGTTGAAATAAATTAAATGATGGATTAATTAGTAAAATATTAAAAATTTTAAAAATTTAAATCTTCCAGTAATAATTGGTCAAGGTAAAAAATGTTAAAAAATTGTTTAATCTTCAAGCGTTCTATAATTTAGGCTTTATTATTGTCAACGCTCACTACCAAAGTATTCGATTATATCCTAGGCTGTAAAAATAATTTATACCAATCAGGTGAAGTTTTTTATATCCTATTCTGTAAAAACCCGTCAGAACCAACTACAAAATTCGTTAACTGCTGACATTTATAAAGCTATGTAACCTTACTTTATACTTTTAATAAATATTATTATAATTGTGTTGTATGATTTATTTATCGTTTAACAAATAAAATTGTCTCTTGAAGATAAAATGGTATGTACCATTTGGCGTGTCTTTTTGTGCTTCGCTGGCGCGTCGGCCTTCAAACTTTGAGCTCAGCATATAAACCCTCACTTCTTAGCATTATGTATGGAACGCTGTTTTAATTTAAACTGAACAACATTATGCTTAAATGTAGTAAATGTTTTAATGTAACGTTATTTTTTACAGCAGTCTGTATGGCGCGCCGTTTTCACATTTATTAGATAAATTGTGGAAGTTGAAAATTTGCTATTTTAAATATTTTTAAACTAAAAATTATCGGTTTGCATTTGTAATGTTAAAAAATGTTAAACTTTAATTTATTGATGGGTAAAATATAACAAGTATCATTTTATTTCATCTGCTTGTATAATAGTTTCTATGCAATTTTTTTCAAATATTTCAAACTGTCGTTTTTTATGGAAAATAATTTGTACACTTAAATTTTTGTGTTTAAATTTTTCCTAACAATCATTTATAACGTTTAGAATTTCTAAAGATTAAATTTTTAGAAGACAAATTTTTATAACTTAAAAACAGCAAACTAACATTTTATTTAAAAATTTTCAAAAAAAAATTTCTTTACATATAATTTCTAAACTAACATTTTTACCAAGTAAAAAAAATGGTACTTTTAAAATTGTTTCTTGCTAAAATGCAACTATAAAAATTTATACTTAAAAATATTCAAATCAAAAAATATTGTATAAAAATATTAATTATTAAAACTTAAAGAAACATTTAAATGCAAAGTGAAAAATTTTGCAGGCAAAAATTATACGTTTAAATTTTTAAACAAACATAAAATGTAAAGTAATAAATTTTTAAGACAAAATTTATCACTTTACATTAAATGTTTGTTTAAAAATTTAAGCCAATAATTTTTGCAGACAAAAATTATCAGTTTAAATTTTTTAAAGAAACATTTAATGTAAAGTGACAATTTTTTAAGACAAAAATTATTGGTTCAAATTTGTAAACAATCATAAAATGTAAAGTAATAAATTTTTAAAACGAAATTTATCACTTTACATTAAATGTTTGTTTAAAAATTTAAATCGAAAACTTTTGCTGATGAAAATTATCGGTTTACATTTTTTAAACAAACATTCAATGTAAGGTGATACATTTTTAACACAAATTTTATCGGTTTGCATTTAATGTTTGTTCAAAAATTATCACTTTACATTCGTTGTGAAAACGAACCCTAAGCCAATTTTAATATTAGGACGGTGCGACATCTACCTGCATTTTAGACAACTATTTTTTTATTAAGTAAACCCGTTCACCCAGTACATGGGTACATTGTTTTCAGAAAGCGATAAACTGACAGTTGCATAACCTCAATTATTTGCACAATAATAAGTGGTAGATAGTGGCGCCATCTCTGGTTATACCCCTCTACTGTTTTGGTACGGTACTACACCAGCGCCCTCTTATCTTAGGAAGATTCTTGTTTACATGAAGTTCGGGCTCCCATATACAACAGTTATATATGGGCATTCCATCCTCCCGTAGAAATTTTCATCTTTTATCTTTTACCGTAAAGGTTTCATGTCGAACCAATCACAGTACTATAGACATGCGCGAAGGTACCAAATATTTAATACAAATGATTATTTATAAACAGTTTACTATATAAATAGTTACTATAGTATTATTAAATATTAAGATAGGTGTTCAGTTTATTAAGTAATTTGTAAATATTTATACAACTGATTGATTATTATATATTATAATATAATATATTATAAACTATAGTGTTATATAAGATAGGTGTTCAGTTTATTAAGTAATTTAAATTACTTAATAAACTGAACACCTATCACAATTGTGTCGCTATTTAGGATATACCTAACTATAGGTATATTTAATATACATATACATATATATGTTTATTAAAAATGGCAGTTTGGCAAGTTATCAGTTATAATTTTAGCTAAGCTGTTCTAATGCTGTTATTATTGTGTAGTATTAATTAATACTCCGTAGTTTCCCGGTCTTGGTAAATTGGGCGAATCTTCCAACGTCTTGTTCTATGTTTTTTTTCCTATAAGCCGCAAGTAAAATTGTAACCACTGCATTTGCATATAAATGTTTGTTTTACATATTTAAACACTAGTAACAAACGACAGAATCCCTAATAATATTATGAAATACACAGAGTGGGTAAAACGCAGAATATAAACAAAAACAAGTGTCAACCATTTTAGGTATTATCGCGCATGTTCACGGAATGCTATACGGGAATATATAAAATACCTTTTTACAAGACGTAAGTACAAATCGTACGGGCGGCACTACGGGAGGACTAAGGAAGGCAATATATAAATCAGGCTTTACGTCTCTTGCGTCAATCTATAATCAACAACAACGGCTTGCGTATTCTTAAAGGTTAACGGTCAGTGGGGAGAAAGGTAGGAAGGCAATCTATAATCCAGGCTTAAGAGAGTATATAAAGTATTATATTAGTTTTACATTTTATTATACAAGAGCAAATATTTCTCGAAAGTAAGCTTAAGGTTATCGACTGTAACAGTAATAGTAATCTGGTTCCTACTGCACATAAATACCCATTGCCAATAGATACAATCATCTAGTAACTACTGAGCATATATTCAACCAAATTGAAACCACTGGTACTTACTGCGCATGGGTAAGATCATCCGTGAACTACTGCGCATGAGTATGGTCATCTGGTACCTTGTGCGCATCAATACATTCATATGGTAACTACTGCGCACAGATACAACCATCTGGTACCTATTGCACATATATACAACTACTGAGCATATATTCAACCAAATTGAAACCACTGGTACTTACTGCGCATGGGTAAGATCATCCGGGAACCACTGCGCATGGGTATGGTCATCTGGTACCTTGTGCGCATCAATACATTCATATGGTAACTACTGCGCACAGATACAACCATCTGGTACCTATTGCACATATATACAACTACTAAGCATATATTCAACCAAATTAAAACCACTGGGTCTTCCTGCGCATGGGTAAGATCATCCGGGAACTACTGCGCATGGGTTTAGTCACCTGGTACCTAGTGCGCATCAATACATTCATATGGTAACTACTGCGCACAGATACAACCATCTGGTACCTATTGCATATAGATACAATCATTTAGTATCAACAGCGCAAAGGTACAACCTTCAAAAAACTACTGCGCATAGGTAGGTCATCTGGTACCTACCTACCACGCAAAGGTACGATCATAACTTGACAGCTGTAGGAAACGCTCCATAATGGACTGTCCATTCTCTACGCCTCTGGCCCAGAGGCTCTGGGTGAACGGGTTTACTTAATAAAAAATAGTTGTCTAAAATGCAGGT